AAGTTTCCCTCTGACCAAAGAAAGTGAAAAAAAACGTGTTTTTAATATTGTCATAGCACCCAACGATGAACTTATCGGTATTAAGACCACAAACCACACGTGTGTAACCTCCAGGTATTTACCTCCAAAAATTAATAAGTTTTAATTCTGTTTTTAGTGAAAAGTTGCACTTGAAGTTAGAAAAACTTAAAAGTGAGTTTATAAAAAGGAGAAAAAAGAGAAATATGCGTTTTGTGTTTTTAAAAAATAAATGACCAAACTAAATTCTAAATTGGAATGACTATAAGGATTAGGAAATATTTTTAGGTTCGGCACTTCTTGACTTTATCAAATATAGTATCTGTAATTAAATAGCTTTTCCTTAAAGTATTCAGCAGTAAAGTCACTTCTCTAAAACAGCCATGAAAAATACTAGAAATTATGTTACGAGTTGAAAGTCAGAAGAATAATAATCGAAAGAAGAATTTAACTAATGTATTTAGCAGCCCTTTTTCATTTGCTGGAAGAATGACAATATTTCATCAGCTCAACTCCAGCTTCTCATTTATAAAAAATTAGAAAATTCATCTCGACATAAGACTAATGCTAAATTCTTTTAAACTTTTCACAATAAAATATCATAATTTTTATGACTTTAAACATTGCCCTTGGGAATATTTCGGAACTTACCGAAATTAGGATCGAAGCTTATCTTGGAAAGTGCCTTACCTGTAACAAAAGAAAAAAACCAGTGTGAGAAACATTTTTCACTTTTTGAATGGTGAAACATTATAACAGTAAATTCAGTCGAGTGGAGGAATAATACTCAAACATTTTCATACAATTTTTGGACGAAAAAAGTATACTCCTTGCTCGGCAGACGAATCATGTCGCCATCATTGTAGTTAACCGCAGATGACCGATTCGTTCAATCGAAATTATGGGGAAAAATGGATTGCTGATTTAACAATTAAATTGTTAAAAAAAATATCCGACATGTTTCAAATGTAAATCTTACAATAGTGAAAAGCTAATTTAACCGCGGGGCTGGTTAAATTAGCATTTTTTTATTATAAAATCTACATTGAGACATGTCGGACACTCTTTTAACTACAAACTTGTTAAATCAGCAATTTAATTTTTTCCGTGTTTAACGAGAAATTAATTGAAAACGAGTATACCAGCGAGGGATCCAATTACTTCAAAGTGTTTTAAAACGTGTTTTCGGTTTTTTTTTTTTTTTTTTTTTTATTCAATCGCACGATAAATTTTCCACACGATGTTTATTATAGAAAAGAATCAAGTAGCGAATTAAGAAATTAAAAAGCCTCCATATAAAAGTGACAAATTATGTAATCGCCTTCCTCGCGTGACATGACACCATAAAACGGGGATGACAGGTTATCAGCAATCCACATCTACATCATGAGAAAAACATAATGTCTGTAATAGGTATAAAAGCGCCTGGTGACAGTTTCCAATTATCCATGTCTTTGCAGTATTATACAGGGCAGTAATTGATTATTTAGGTCAAAGGCCGTGCCGGCTTTGCAGGAATTTTCATCGAGATATAACCCCTAAAAGTTCCTAAGAATCGATTTTTCGCATTGATAGAATCAGCATGAATAATCCTTCAGGAATGAAATAAGAGAAATAAATTCCTCCCGCAGATTTGAATTATCACGTTAGAAAGCTTATGCGATACACTGATTTGTTTTTATAATGCATTTCACAGAAAAATGAGCCCTCACCTCAAAATACTCAAAATCGAAATTAGGTACCATTGCTGTGCAGCTTAAATGTGTTGATTAAAAAATGTCGAATAAAACCAGAGAAGGGCGACGGTTTGAAGTTCGCAGTTCTAATGGCGTGCACTGGAAGAAAATATCTCTTGGATCTAGAATCCAGACTCTCGCAAATTTTACAAAAAAATATTCTTGATTAAATCGGATTTTTGCATAAACCGAAAAGAAACCTTCTTAAATTAAGAGGCTTGGATCTCGATTGTGGCAAAAATCCGATTGAATCAAAAATCCTTTTTCTTTCCAAATTTTGCAGGAGTCTGGACTCTGGACTCAAGAGACTTTGTTTCAGTGCAGTTTTAAATGGAATATTCAAAAGTGCTCAATTTGAAAATTCAAGTACTCTAAAATGCAAATTATTCTAAGTCATTGTTTTATTCTATTTTATTCACAAGCTTGGGCTAGATAGTTTGTGCTTTTGTGTTAAAAGTCTAAGCAGCACACAAGTCTTCCATTGAATTTGATTTCCTTTGAAACTTGACCACTTACATGTATCTGTACTCTGCATGCATGCAGTAAGGACAAGACCCTCGGAGTCGGAAAAGCACATATATCAGCGCGAACGACACCCAGCCCAAAATTGATTATTACTTGCGAAAACACCACTGTGTCCACAAACCAAGGTAGTCAAATCTCAGAAACATCAATTATTTTTCCCTAATTCAAGCGGATATTAATCGTGCCAAATAAGAAACGCGTATTTACATACGGTTTTGTATAGGAGTTACGAGGTTCTTGCACTGGAGGACGGAGATTGAAACGTTGAAAGCGCTTGGCAACCCGGGCATGTCGCTGTTCGCACCCTTGATTTCCGCTCGAGAACCGGATATTAGCCCCGGTCGGAGTGGCACGGCGAACTTGGAGATGGTTAAAACGGTGGGATCGGAAAGGGATG